TCCCGATACTGCTGTACCCGCCTGGCGCCTTTCTCGTTTTACGGTTCTCCTGAAGCATCACACACCCGTGTCCACAAGCTCCATTGGTTGCGAGTGTGTTGGCGTTCACGTCGTGGTGGCCGTTTTGTGGGCTTGAGCAACACCTGAATGCGTTGAAACCCACGAGACCCCCCCCAACTTTCTGTCGTGGTTTTGTTGACGCGAACAAACCAAGGGAGGGTGCTCTTCCCACTCGGGAGGGACGCATGTGTCTTGTCCAAGATCAGATAGTCACGCTAGGCAACGAAGGAGTCGGGCGCGCGTTCTCTTTCCACCGCCCCTTGTCGGTGTTTCGTCGCTGCTGCTGCTGTGTCAGTGTTTTCCCCAAGCCGCTTGTGTAATTTCGAGCGTTTCTGTCTCTCCCCGTACGGAAGTGAATATTTCTGATTTCGATGTTATTCTCTCTGACTTTCTTCGTTTCGCTGTCACTCTTTCGTGGTGAAAAACACAAACAAAACAAAAGGCGGCTGCATTGGAGCAACGACAACTCGAGCTGAGAGCTTCGCTGACTCCTGGCGAGCTAGAAGAGGCCCTCGCCAGCGCTAGAGCCAAGCTTAGGGCACCATGCTCGGCCGGAATAGGGGCGTTCCAGGTGAAACTGAATTGATAATCCCTCTTTGGTGGGCGGATGACCACCGCTTCAGAGGGGGTTCCGGGAATCAATGCCGGCCAGGACAGGGGACACTCTTGGTGCACCAACTATTGGTGTCGTGTATGTGTTTGTGAGGGTGTGTGCGAGTAGTTTGAAGCAAACCTTCCTCATGTACTTGTCCAAGGTGTTGGCCCGTCTGGAGAGAAGTCGCGCGCACAACTATCTGGCTTTAGATTTTGTACGTGGTGTACGCCCTGCTGCAAGAAGGTCACCCACATTTTGGTGTTGAGAACGCTGCTACCTACCACGCCGATTCGCACATTTTGTTTTGGGCTGTTCATTCCGTGTGGTCAAGGTGTTCTTGCACGTTGGCTGCATGCAGGGGGCTGCGTGCGTTATCCGCGTGGTGTTGTGGTCTGAGGAGGATAATATTCGTTACCTCTTGCTTTATCTTTTCTTCTTCTTGCCTCGTTCTTGCTTGTGGTGGGGACGAGTAGTCGCCCCGTGTCGCTTGGTGGGCACGGACAGAAGTGGACGGATAAGACGCCAGAAAACTTTTTCACAGAGATCCTACAACTACTACCACGACCTGTCTAGTGACTGCCAACGTGCACGTGAGATATATCGTTCTGTCCAGAGCCGCGCTACTTTCGTTTCCTAAAGCAGTCATGGAATGGGATGATACCTTTGTTGCATTGTTTTGCATTGGATAGTGCTCTGGAGACATGCCGCATGGCTGAACCAAAAACCGATCTCCCGTAAATCCCTCGCTCTACCCCCTTCATCCCCCCTCTCCTTGCAGTATCAGTCCCCCGCAACCCTCCTCATGCTGCTGCTGGTGATGTCTCTTTGAGAAGCAGCCTCTACATCTCACAAGGGATGCGCAACCAATGCTGAAATGACCATGGCTAGCAAGCAATATGACCCCCCCTCCCCCCCCCCTCCCCCCCGGTGTTTGCCATCGGGGCTGGGTTTTCGACGCTTGCCAACGACGTTGTAAAGCAAGCCAATTCACTGCGTGAACTCGGCAACCAGGTTACCGTTTTTTTTTTTGACCTGTTTTTTTTTTGCCGGTAACCATAATGGTGGTCGAGTAGATCATGTTGTGCGGGGTCGAGAACCCTTACTCCGCGCAAGGGGGATGATCGCACCACGTTGTCTTAAAATGGTCAAGCACCCTCGAGGCAGTTACAAAGTGCTTCCATCTGTCTCTGGAAGTGAAAGCACCAGAAAATAAATTAAGTCATATGCAGCTGTCATCCGTACGCAAGGAAGTAAGCACAAGATGCCGAACACCCTTAGCAGGATGCGCACCCTTCATGCGACTTGCCAAATACCTCACGGCGCTTTGCGCTTGGTGATGTGAGAGCCTGGTCCGGTGAGAACCCGGCGTGCTCCGTCCCGGCTTTGTAGGGATGCGAGGTCAATGGTCTAACGACTACGGCATGCACGACTATGAGTACACCCCCCCCCTACCCCATCAAACTCTATTCGGCCGGCAGGCGAAGCACGAGGGTGAGCTCGACATCCCCAGAGCGGACGCCCTCCGCTTCGGGAGGCATGGAGGGCCCCTCCGCCGCCAGCGCATCCTCATGTCGGGCAACACCGCCGTCAACGTACGGGTTTTCCGCGAGTACGCCAAGCGGGCGACGTCGTCGGCCGCCATCGCCGATCGGGTGGAGACTAGCGACAGCAGGGAAGCCGGCGATGCCCTGTGGGTGGTCGAGATAGCCGGGAAGAAGAAGACGCTGCTCGGGCTTAGAGCAGCGGCGCCTGCTGCAGACGGCTGCGGCACCAGCAAGCAGCAGGAACGCGGGCTGGTGATAGAAACCCGCGAGGGCGGTGAGGAGGTTCTGCTCTGCGACGACCAGGACTCCTTCCGGCTATGGCTCGGGGTGGCCGCGGCGGTGTTCCCTTCCGGCACTGCTGCTGCTGCTGCTGCTGCTTCGGGGAGTGGCCACATAGAGTGATGATGGCTTCGCGGCGGTGTTTTTGTATCGTTTCATGCCAGTACTGCGCCATCCGGGGGCGTGGCAGG